AAACTGACCAATGAAATCAGTGTTTTCTTGGACAAAAGCGAACAAACTGAACTTTGTTACTTTTATGGCTTCTGTGAGGCCTATATTTTTCCCTCCGTATGTGTTTTATGTTACCACTGATGAAGATGAGACCTCTTGACTTTTTCCATTGTTCTTTTTTTTCTTGCACCTTTTTCAGTGTTTGTCATCCCAGTGTGTCCATTATCTTCTGACATCCCAATAACACTAAATCGATGATATTTGGCTCAGAGGTGGCTTATCCATAGCTGACTCGGCTCCTCTTTTCAGTGCAACTTCAAAGAAATACATGCAAAGACTTAAAGTATTAACACTGACTGATGACTTCACACTAAAATGGGAAACCTTTCCCAAAATATGCACTGTGGTGTACTAGACCAGCAATGGAAAACACTGAACTATCTATGTTTATACTTTTTTAATGTATATAAGAATATGTATGTTTATCATTGAGCAGTTATGATGCTGAGCATCTGTATAAATGTATTCCACAAACAAGCTGCTTTTATTCATCCAGGGTACATAGAGATAAACGTGCTGAGTAATTACTATTGCAGCCCAAAAGTCAGGAGCTATGTTCACCAGTAGTGATGAGCTCGGGTTCAGTCCAAACTTGGAAGTTAGCTGTCATTTCTGGGCTAGTGAGCTGTGGGCAGGAGATTCCCCACCCTGCAGCTGACATACACAAAGGGGCAGGGATACTTGTGACAATATTGACCCAATATGGCAACATGGTCCTATTAGGTCAACTATGTCAGAAGCATTCCCGCCCCGCAGCTGCATGTTTACAGAAAGGGCCTTTGACAGACCCAACCGGGACAGGGTTTTTTGGAGGGGGAATACAGACTAACCTCTTGCCTACTGACCATAAAGCCTGCCTCTGATGCTAAGGCCCATGGTCAGAAGGAAAGAGGCTATCCCTCGGTCCCCTCCATAAGCCCCTGTTCTATTTTGGGTCTGTCAGGCGGGGACTGCAGGCTAGCCTCTTTCCTACTGGCCCCTCCAAAAGCCCCTGTCCCAGCTGGGTCTGTCACAGGGCCTTGCCATGTTTCTGATATCATTGAACTACTTTGACCCACAGCTCATCCCTATTCAACAGTATATACTAAGCTTGCTGTTTTGATACCACTTTAATACAGTTTTTCGTTATCACTCCCAAAATGTATTAAATACAGTATTAATGGAGGAAACTCTGGCTTTCAGTCTCATTGGTATTACAAAGTGGGAAGGAGGCTTTGGTTTCTATCCTGGAAAATTGTTTTTTTTGTGAAAACTGTTTGAGAATATATTGAATCACTTTTAATTAATGTATTTGCTTTTTATGGGTCCCTAAAAGGATTCCTTTGTTTGGGACTTGTTTGTAAAATTTGTAAATGTTAAATAAACCCAATGAGAAGGTGATATATTTCATTTGGAAGTCTTATGCTACAATTTCATCAAAAGATACTTTAGAGTGGAACACCAGACATGAAACCGCTAAATCCACAGATGGGATACTTATGTGGGAGCTGTTTTACCTTTCAAAGAATTTGGATTTCTGACATATTCACTCCTGAGATTTATACAGCTTTGGCAGAGAACACGTGGAGAATGGACTCTTTTGCAATCAATGCAACTACTCTGCTCCCTGCCCTGTTTATGATTTGGATAATGAAGGAAAAGTAGCAGTCTGATTAATCCATCTTTTTTCTTTTTTACACTTGTGAAAATATCGGCACTACATACCATTTTATTGGCTGTTTGTACTGCTTCTCACTGTCCCAGTCTGAGCTTTTTTTGTGCGGGATTGCAAGTGGTGGATACCACACTAAATTCAGGTACTTAACCCCTTCAAGATGGAGGGTAAAACAAATACTAATGCCTGAACACAGTTTTTCAACTTTGACATGCGTTAGTAAATCTGTACATATCACACAACCACTTTGTGTATCCAGGTGGATTATACCTTGTTTTTGTTTTCAGGACAAATTGGACTTTCGTTTGGTGGTAAATGGTAATGGATAGCTCTTGAATGTTTTTAATGATCAAAGGAAAACTGGCCCAAAATAGCAATACAGCTAATTAAAAAAAAAAAAAAAAAAAAAAAAATTCTATTACCATAACTTACCACCCAAAAACGCAAAATAAATTCTCCTGCCCCTGATGAGTGCAGCAATACCTCATGTATATGTTACATGTTTTTACACGGGGGGGGGTTCAGAAACAATAGTGTACAATTGTTTTTTTTTGGTTTTGTTTTTTACATTTTACCCAAAATACATTGACCCAAGGCTGCATTCACACCTCAGCATTTTGTAGCTCAAGCTCAATGGTTCTTGTTCATGCTCAAGCATGTGATGGGATTTTGCTTGTTGAGCATCCTCGAGCTACAAAATGCTCAGGTGTAAATGCAGGACACTGACCTAGATCAAAACCTGATCTACCCATTTTATTCTTAACTGCTTGCCGTCCAGCCACTGTGGAAAAACGGCCACAAGGTGGCACCGCTGGGCAAAATCATGTTTTAAAACGTGATATTGCAAAACACGTAGGGGACGCGCTTGACCGCCCTACCCGTGCTGCCGATCTTGGCCGGGGGTGTCAATCGCCGGGTCCCTGTCGGTCATTACCCGCCAAGTCCTGGCAATTGCCGGCAAACGGTGACAACAGAGCACATGCAGCTCTGCTCCCTGTCAGTTCCTAACACACTAATCCCGAAAGCGGAGTTTAGCTCTCGGGATCAGTGTGTTCCTGTAAAGCACACACCCCCTGCCCACTAGTAAAACACTCCCCTCACACAGTTAACCCTTTGAATAAAAATGTTAACCCCTTCCTCCCCAGTGCCATTACTACAGTGTCAGTGTTTTTTTTGTTTGTTTTTTTTTGCACTGATCACTGTATTGGTGTCACTGGGGATGTCAGTGACCCCAAGTCAGTTCCCCCCCAGTGCCAAAATGTCCAACGCAGTCTCTGATAAGTCGCTGATCGCCGCCATAAGTCGCTGATCACTGTCATAAATTGCCGATCACCGCCATTAGTCGCTGATCGCCGCTATTATTAGTATAAAAAAAAAAAAAAAAAATCCCAGTATCTTTCCTGCCATTTGTAGATGCTATAACTTTCATGTAAACCAATTAATTTACACGTATTGGGATTTTTTTTAATTTTTTTTTTTTTAGCAAAGACATGTCGCAGAATACATTTTGGCCGAAATTTATGACAAAATTTGATTTTTACATTTTTTTTACTGGACATGTTTTATAGCAAAAAGTACAAAATATTAATTTTTTCTCAAAATTGTCAGCCTTTTTTTTTTATTTTTATAGCGCAAAAAATAAAAAAATGCACAGGCGATCAAATACCACTGAAAGAAAGCTCAAGTCGTGGGAAAACAAAGACGTAAATTTAATTTGGGTGCAGTGTTGCATGATCGCGCAATTGTCAGTTAAAGTAACGCAACGCCGTAACACAAACCGCTTCTGTAACTGCTTCCTGACTGCCCTATAGCAGAAATACTGCTACAGGGCGGCACAGGTGCATATACAAGTGAAACTCAAAAAATTAGAATATTGTGCAAAAGTTCATTTATTTGAGTAATGTAACTTAAAAAGTGAAACTAATATATGAGATAAACTCATTACATGCAAAGCAAGATAGTTCAAGCCGTGATTTGTCATAATTGTGATGATTATGACTTACAGCTCATGAAAACCCTAAATCCACAATCTCAGAAAATTAGAATATTGTGAAAAGGTGCAATATTCTCGGCTCAAAGTGTCACACTCTAATCAGCTAATTAAGCCATAACACCTGCAAAGGGTTCCTGAGCCTTTAAATGGTCTCTCTGTCTGGTTCAGTAGGAATCACAATCATGGGGAAGACTGCTGACCTGACAGTTGTACAGAAAACCATCATTGACACCCTCCATAAGGAGGGAAAGCCTCAAAAGGTAATTTCAAAAAAAGTTGGATGTTCCCAAAGTGCTGTATCAAAGCACATTAATAGAAAGTTATGTGGAAGGGAAAAGTGTGGAAGAAAAAGGTGCACAAGCAGCACCGATGACTGCAGCCTGGAGAGGATTGTCAGGAAAAGGCAATTCAAAAGCGTTGGGGACTTTCACAAGGAGTGGACTGAGCCTGGAGTCAGTGCATCAAGAGCCACAACACACAGACGGATCCTGGACATGGGCTTCAAATGTCGTATTCCTCTTGTGAAGCCGCTCCTGAACAACAAACAACGTCAGAAGCGTCTTACCTGGGCTAAAGAAAAACAGACCTGGTCTGTTGCTCAGTGGTCCAAAGTCCTCTTTTCTGATGAGAGCAACCTTTGCATCTCATTTGGAAACCAAGGACCCAGAGTATGGAGGAAGAATGGAGAGGCACACCCTGCAAGATGCTTGAAGTCCAGTGTGAAGTTTCACAGTCTGTGTTGATTTGGGGAGCCATGTCATCTGCTGGTGTTGGTCCAATGTGCTTCATTAAGTCCAGGGTCAGCGCAGTCGTCTACCAGGAGATTTTGGAGCACTTCATGCCTCCTTCCGCAGACGAGCTTTATGGGGATGCTGACTTCATTTTCCAGCAGAACTTGGCACCTGCCCACATTGCCAAAAGCACCAAAACCTGGTTCAATGACCGTGGGATTACTGTGCTTGATTGGCCAGCAAACTCGCCTGACCTGAACCCCATAGAGAATCTATGGGGCATTGCCGAGAGACATGAGACCGAACAATGCAGAAGAGCTGAAGGCCGCTATTGAAGCATCCTGGTCTTCTATAACACCTCAGCAGTGCCACAGGCTGATAGCTTCCATGCCACGCCGCATTGAGGCAGTAATTGCTGCAAAAGGGGCCCAAACCAAGTATTGGAGTACATATGCATGCTTAGACTTTTCAGAGGTCCGATATTGTTCTATGTACAATCCTTGTTTTATTGATTGCATGTAATATTCTAATTTTCTGAGATTGTGGATTTGGGATTTTCATGAGCTGTAAGCCATAATCATCA